TCTGAGGATCCCCTGTGGTGGTGATATATTTGGTCTAGGTGAATAATTTTTAATATTATCTTTAAATATATTTGTATAAATATAATGTGGTGATAATGGTGTATGTATTGTATCATTTATCATTTGTGAAAACATTATTTCTATATTATTATTAGAATTATTATTAGAATTATTACTATTTATATTATTATTACTATTATTATTAATATTATTAGTATTAAATAAATTATTTGGAGATGAAATATTAACAGTAGTTGGACTATTAAAATTATTAAATATATCATTTAAATTATTAGTACTAGTTGAAGATGTTAAATTTTCATTTAAATAATATAATTTACATGTAAATAATTCACCACCAACATCTATTTTTTCACCTTCTAAATCTATTGTAATTAAATTAAATTCATATTCATTACCTGATATAAATGTATTATTATTATCATTTAAATTATTATTATTTAAATTATTATTATTATTATTTAAATTATTAATAGAATTAGATGTTGTTATTAATAAATGACCACATCCAAATTCAGTATCAATATAACATTGATCAGTATCTATTGAATAGGGTGATATAACAGATGTGGTAGTACTTGTATAACTCATTAAATCACTCATATCATTATCATTAGTATTAATTAATAATTCATTCTTATGTAATATTACTAGATTTAATTCATTATTATTAATATGTTCATTATTACTATGCAATGAATGATGTGAATCATGTTGTTCTTCTATAGCATTATGTTCTTGTTGTTGAGGTTCAAAATGATGATGATAATGTGATTTAGGAGTGATAGATAATGAAGGTGAAATATCATCTGTTGTAGATGTTAAATTAGAAAGTGATGATAATGTAAATGTAACTGTATTAGTTGCAGTTGATAAATCACTTCTACTTGTTGATGGTACATTTTGTGGTGATGATGGACTATTATTATTATTATATAAATTTAATTTACTTGTAGTATCATCTTGTTGTTGTTGTTTATTAAATGATGATAAAGGTTGTGATGTTAATAATTCATTCTTATCTTTATCATCTTCCAATGTAGGTGAATGTGTCAATTCAATAATATCATTTGTATTGTCATGTTTTTGTTTTATTGTACTTGTTGATATTGTTGTTGGAAATAATATTTCATTATTAGATTTAATTCTTGATTGAACTGATGATGAAATATTATTATTATTATTATTAATTGTATTATTAATTGAAGAAGAAGAAGGAGATAATAATAAATTATCCTTTTTAGGAGTAATAATATTAAAAATAGTAATTTTAGAAATTAAATCAAATTTATCATTTAAAATAATATTTGAATTATTTAAATAATCCATATTAATTAATAAATCATCATTTGTATAAATAAAATCATTTAAATGTATTAAAATATTAAAATTAAATTTTCTATTTAAATAAATAGATAAAGAATGTATTGTTTGTATTACTTTAATTAAATTTCTATTTTCCCATAAATCTGTTATTTGAAATAAATAATTTGATGGAATCCAATTTCTTGACATGATTTAAAAAATTGATTAAAATTTTCAATGGCTAAAATTTGTAATAACTTCCTTTTTTATGTTG